GAGGAAGCAGCACATAAACAAAACAGAACCTTAACAAATTTACACAGCACAGGCACGTGTTCCAGGATTTTCTAGACATGGTTAGTTGTGTAGGCTTAGATGTGCATATCCATTTTACAGCAGGTGTTTTCTGTGTACATTTTTAAGTCAAATATCTCCTTGTATTGACAGTTCAACTATTTTATGTAATAATTACCTTCTTTGAGAATAGCACAAATTAGTTACATATATTCTGACCATACATACGAAAGTGTCAGTAAAGAAAAACAACATTGGAATACAAAGTGAGCCCTAGCTGGTTTGGCTCAGTGGATAGAGCATCTGCCTGTGGACGGAAGGGGTCTGGGTTTGATTCCAGTCAAGAACACATGCCAGGGTTGTGGGCTTGATCCCCAGTGGGGGCCATGCAGGAGGCAGCCGATCAATGATTCTCTCTCATCATTGATGTATTCTATCTCTCCCTCTCCAAAATCAATAAAAAATATATTTTTTAAAAAGAATACAGTTATATGTAATATACCTTCCTATAAATTTTCTATTTTAGGTGAAAATTCTTCTTCTTCTAAAATGTGCTTCAAAAATAAAACTAAATGTGCTTCATCATACAATATGCTCATCGGTTTAAACTAGTCTTGTACATGGTGTATATTCAAACCTATATCTCAGTGTCAAGTACTCAGTCATACACCCCCCATCCAGGAAGGGAGTGTCCACCTGCCTGACATCTCAAGTTACCACTGACCCCCCAGAGTAAGCTAACTCTGAACAGCCCAGGAGTTTCTCTGCCCGGCCTAGGGGTAATAGGATAGAAATGGATGCTAGGTTAGCACAAAGGTAGCTTAGGGCTCCTATCACTACCTTTATGAGGGGATTATCCGACCAGAGGGTAAGTTACATCTGGTCTGACCCCTCCAGGTGAGGAGGCAGCAGGTCTTACCCACTCATCTCAATGAACTCGCGCTGCCTCAGTTACTACTACCATCCAACTAGCCACGGGTCCTGGTGGCCAGCGATAAGCCAAGTCCCAAGCGCAATCAATTTGCCATGAACATACATCTGCCAGGTCAGCAATACAAAGGTGCCCGGCCACATGGCAAAGTCAGAATGCAGAAGCCAGCGCCAGAGCTTGAGGTGCCCTGATTCGTGGTCAGGGATGGGGAGAAGGCATCATGGCAGCCAGGTCTAAAGCTTTGCAGATTAGGTCAGGCTCTTCTGATCCTCTAGCAACAGAAATCTTGTTTGCATAAGTAAAAGTTCAGGAAGCCGCTGAGCTACACCCCTCTCCCCCCTGCTGTTCTGCAGTCAGTGTGGAAACCAGCCAGCATCCCAATATCTAATGCTCCCAGTGAGCAGATGCTCTCTGTGTATTCCATCCAGAGAGAAGTTTCTCTCTCAAACAGTGGCATGTTAACGGAAGAAGTGACCTGAGAGGAAAACGGAACCTCTTGGGGAAGAGGCAGGCTGTGCCAGGGCAGTTTTGATTTCTGCTCCCGGTGAGCCAGCAGGTTGGGTTTTATGTGGACACGTAGCTGCAGTGGCATTGGATGGGCAGAAGCGCACATGCACCAGGGGCGGCGGCAGGGATGGAGCAGAGCTGCTGGAAATGAAAACACTGAGGGTCGCAACACGTTGAGACTGTGTTCAGAACGACAATGAGAAAGGGGAGATTTCTGTTTCATTCTTCGCTTTGTTGCGCGTGCTGGAAACTGGACTTCTTCTCCGATTCCCTCCCTCAGAGAATCGTGTGCAGAATTCCCCCTTTGGAAAGACACATTCCTTCTCCAAGTGCCCGGCCTGTGCTTTTGTTTTCTCCTAACCAGACAGCTTAATTTCGGGAAGTATTTTCTTTGTCTCTGTTACCAGAGCTCAGAAACTTGAGATGACCAGAGCTGTGTTTGGCATTTAGTGAAATATAGTAATAACGTTCCCTCGCACCAGAATAGTCTAGTTGTCTTTTTCATGAATTGAATTTTTCACCCGCTCTTTCTTTTTTCTTCATGTGTACATTTCTGCATTGCTCAGGGCTGGGTGTCCAAGTGTAATTGTTCCCTGTGAAACCACTGTTTCCTTATCAGTGGTTCCTTCTGGATCATTTAAAATAACTATTTGTTTGCACTTTGGTCTCAGGTCAAATGTTTCATTTCTTTAAGTGAACTTTGCTTCAGATCATCATCACTGCGAAAACTTGGGGAGGTATTTCCAATCTGGGCTCAAACTGAGTGTCCTAGAATGAAATCTCAGCCTGTTGAGAGAATGTCTAGAGCTGTGTTGTCCGATATGGTAGCCATAGCCACAGATGGCTATTTAAATTTAAACTCTTTAAAATGGAGCAAAGTTAAACGTGTCTTTCCTCATTTTGCGGCCACATTTCAAGTACTGAAGAGCCACAGGTGGCTCGGACATTTCCACCACCACACACAGTTCTGTTGGGCAGATTTTATCTGGTTAATGTCTTGAAATTCCTCTTTGAGAGCTGGGCCTTCAGAAACCCCAATGTTTGGAGGTACATGAATTTCCTCCCATGGTTCAGCAAATATCTAGTCAAGTTCTTTATGGTGTTTAGGGAGTGTCTAGACCAGTGGTTCTCAACCTTCCTAATGCCGCGACCTTTTCATAGAGTTCCTCATGTTGTGGTGACCCCCAATCATAAAATTATTTTCGTTGCTACTTCATAACTATAATTTTGCTACTGTTATGAATTGTAATGTAAATATCTGATATGCAGGATGTATTTTCATTGTTACAAATTGAGCATAATTAAAGCATAGTGATTAATCACAAAAACAATATGTAATTATATATGTTTTCTGATGGTCTTAGGCGACCCCTGTGAAAGGGTCGTTCGACCCCTAAAGGGGTCGCGACCCACAGGCTGAGAACCGCTGGTCTAGACAGACAAGTCCAAAAGAACTAAATCAATTTTTCAAAATCTTTTGGACTGATTACGAGATAAAGGCTCTATTTGATTTATCTTTGTGTAGGCACCAAAACAACCATAATGACAAGAGTCAATAAAGCCTTTTCAAGGGAGAGGCACCCAATGTATTCCAAATGGAATACTTACTGTGACTGATACAGCTAATAAGATATTTGGGTTTTGAGTTAGTAGCATGTGGCCTCTACCCGGGCAGCCTTCTTTGAGCGCATGTTAATCCTGTCTTTATAGATAACACTTCAAGCAATAATACATTTCACAGCACATTTAACTACAGAGTCTGCCACAATATATCATTATATTCTTTATATGCAAGTATTACCAACTGTGGAAGCCAAAAGCATAAGTACTGTGCTGGAATTACAACATGCCACTCACCTCCCAAGAAACAGCAGCAAAGAGAAACAAGCATGGATTTGGGAGTCAGACCTGGGTTTCAGTCTCCCCTATGCTGCTAACTAGATGTGTGACTTTGGTTATGTCCCTTAATCTTGCTAAGCTTAGGTTTCTTCAGTAAATGAGAATCATAACCCCATTCCACAGTTATTGGGAGGAGAAAGATAGTCTATAAACGCCATTATGCACAATCCCCATTTCAAAGGACAGTTGATGTATTATTATTAGTAGTAGTAATATTAGTAGTGTTGTTAGTATTAGCATTATCATACCCCAAACAGCTTCAATAGGGATAGAATCTAATCATTAAAAGTTAACAGCAGTAGCGACGTTGTTTCAAGCTAATTATTTTTAAGTAGCATAGTACTGAATTAATTGTCCAAATTAAAAACTTCTAATTTTGTCATTTTTTTCAATACATTTAGAGTTTTGACTATATTTTCTGCTTACTGATTTTAGGCATATCTTGATGTGTGTGTTTGTGCGTGTGTGTGTGTGTGTACAGATATAAATGTAAATCTGTTATTGGGATGTCTCCAGGATAAGGGCCTTGTGAAATGCAAATTGACAAGGGGTTCTAGAATAAAACTCTATAGAGGTATAAATACGCAGCTATATTTATTAATACAAATATACATATAAATAGATGCATAGGTATGTTCATGGAAATATTCCTTTTCGTAAATTAGTTTTATCTACTTCCTGGTGCACAGTTAGCCTTTAACTGCACCAGCATATCTACATAATAACACACGCTGAAATGTACTTTCAGGCAAAGATTTTTGTCTTTCAGGAATGGAAGGAAATTAACACTTATTTGCTCAACTATTTTCCAGATGCATGATATTTCATGACAGTTATGACAGATATTAAGCTTTAAGAAAGCTCAGTGATTCTCAAAGTCACACAGCCAGTAAGTGAGTGGCTTGTATTTGAACCCAGGTCTGTCTCAGCACGAAGCCTCTTCCTACATCACATTGAATACCACTGCGATCCGCCATCCACTTCTCTCCACTAACCATTTGCCCTGGAAACCCAAGGTCAGAGCCTGTTCATTCTGCCCATTCTGGCTCTCCCTTCTCTCTGGGTGATGTGTCTCCTTCCTCTTCCATTGTCCCAGAACCTCTTCTATTGAAAAGTCAAAGGGAGGTCCACCATGTTGTTACTGAGCCTTTGCTATCTTCTCTATGAATTCTTAAAGTGTTGTACAGTAGTCACCCAGCCAACCATTTAGAAATGGAGATGTGTCAGATCATGGATCTCTCTACAGTGTTTGTCAGGATCACACTCCACTGCCTCCTGGCTTGTAAAGATCTCTCTCCTGCTGCAGACATAAAGGACTGCTTCATAGTATTTAAACTAGGAATTCTTTTTGCTTGGCAATAAGGCTTTGGCTACAACAAAATCAGCTCATAACTGAAAAATAGTATGTCCTGAGTGACTGAATTCACAACCTGAACCCCCGTCCATTTTAAAAACAGGAATTATCATGAACACTTGTTTCTACTTCATTCTATATGAAACTGATCAAAATATTTCTAGAAAACAAATTCTAGAAGTCTCCTTTTTAATTTGAAATTTACTATAACACCAATATTGTAAAATGAGCAATTGGGAATTCCATGCATTTAACCTCTGGATACTTTTTTTATGCCTACCTTGTTTAGGTTTATTTTCAGGGTTGAACAAAGGCTACCCAGAGGTTACAGATATGCCATGTGGCATATCAAATCTGACATTTAATCCTTGATCCCACTCGTGATACTTAGTTTCACTGAATGGAACTCTCCTGTGGTGATGTGGTAGATGTCTTTCCCACATGGGGATGCCATTTCCTTGTGGAGTCCGGGCCTATATGCCTGGATGAAAGTTTTCCAATGTTTGTATGTCTAGAAGGCTTGCTTAGTAAAGAATCATAGCTTTCTTCTCATTCATGTTCCAGTGGAAAGAAGTTATGATTCTAAAATTCTTAAACAGTCTAATTTCATTCTTACTGCTAGAGATCAATCTGGTGTTAAACATTTTCCTAAACAGGAAGTGTTCCCCTAACAGGAAAGGTGCAACAAAGGTGTTTGTTGGGAAGGGTTGGGACCAGAGGACAAGAAGCAAGGGGCAGGGAAGGTTTCCCACTTGTGAGTTGTGCCCCCAACAGGGTGAACAAAAGAAAAGGGTATTGAGAATAAGGCAGGACTCTTAGGAGAAAATGTTAGCATTCCTCAAGGCAACCCAAGTCACTAAGACAAGAATGGTTCCAGCGTTTCTTCTGAGAAAGGCAAGCACACACCACATTCCCGAGAGCTTCTGGATGCAGCACAGGCAGATGTAAGGAAGGAAGAGGTACTTACTGTTTGGATCTACGTTTTCACAGAGTTCTGTCTTTGCCTCACCGTTGGGTCTGTCACTGGGTTTGTGTGACAGCCGTGATGACATGGTGGCTGCTGTGACTACTGCCTTGAAGCTTCGCTTCCGTTTCTGGACATTGAGTTCAGGGTGGAAAATGATGATGTACACTTTCGGCATGTATAGCATCCCCAGCGCCACTGACGCACTTAGGTTCATGGAGATTGTAAGCGTGGTGGTTTGTATGTAGAGCTAGGAGACACAACACACAAGACACTATTACAAATAAAATGACCGCAGAGGGAGATTCAACACTTAACGTGATGTCAAGAATGACTATGGCTAGGAGAGATAGCATAACAATCTCTAAGGGTTTCTGATTAAAAAAATAAAAAAGCAAGAAAGGATGACTCTGAACATTTATTGGAGAGTTTATGCAGATTTTTATTTGAATTTTTATTGTTTGAATGTTTGGGAGAATCCATGTGTGTGCTTGCCCTGGAGAAGTCTCTACATAAGATTTCGGAGTAGATCCAGCATCAGATTTGAAGTACTTTTAATCAGAATGGCAATTGAATATGAAGATGGGCAGATCATGGAAATCTGTAAAACCTTGCGTAAGGGAATTGGTTTTTATTCCCCATACTTAGACAAAATGATTAACTCTACATGACCTTTTGATACACAGAGACTCTGGGGCCTTGTTTGAAAAGTCCTTATGTCAATATATATCAATTCATGCACTTTGGGTATATATAGTTTTTCAAAGGGGTTCACCTTCACCATGCCTACAAAGTAGTGACTGAGTTTCCCTAGAGAGTAAGCCCTTCTTGCTTAATTCTGATTTTAAAAATACCAAAGGCAGGGGACCAAGATCTAGTTATGTTTTCTGGTCCAGTGTCTTTACACTTACCAATTGCTAATAGGTTGCAAGATCTCCTTCTGACATTGTTATTTGTGGTTTGGATAGTGACCAGACCTGCACTTGTCTCCTTCTGCTTCCTTGGGAATTCGATCGAGCAACCACCCACTCACTGTTTGATGTGTTCAATTCTTGTCTGGCCTCCATTCAAAAAGATGAAGGTGGAAGGGTGTAGGAAATGGTCAGATCAGCGAGGGAAAACCTATAGATGACTTGGTCCAGTTGTGTTTATAAACTTCCCTGTCATGATCTAGAAGTGCCCCACAATACATTTAGGAATATTTGTATCTTACAAGACTTGTCAAAGCTAGATGAAATGTGAGGTGATGGATGTGTTAATTAGCTGGATTGTGGTAATTATTTTTCAATGGAGCTTAAGTCATCATGTTGCATACCTTAAATATCATGTTCTATAACCTAAATATATACATATTTAATTTGTCAATCATACCTCAATAGGCTAGATAAAAATAAACACCTTTAATTTGTCAATCATACCTCAATAGACTAGATATATATAAAAAGATAGGTAGGCAGATAAATCAATTAAAATCTTGTTTAAATAAAAGAGTGACTAGCTACCATAGTCTTCCATGTTAGTGGAAAGCCTAGTTCCTTGAGAACATATTGGTCATGATTTCCCACAACTTTGCCTTTGCATCGATCTGAGGATAAAATCCCCATATTTTTTAAAAAAAATATTTTTATTGATTTCAGAGAAGAAACGAGAGGAAGAGAGAGATAGAAACATCCATGATGACAGGGAATCATGGATCGATTGCCTCCTGCACGCCCCCTACTGGGGATGGAGCCAGCAACCCAAGTATGTGCCTTTGACAGGAATTGAACCCAGGACCCTTCAGGCCCCAGGCCAACACTCTATCCATTGAACCACACCAGCCAGGGCAAAACCCCATCTTTAATGGATTCTACAAGGCCACAAATCATCTGCCTCCTGTCTAATTTACTGACCAATTTTTCACCACTATCCCCACCTCCCTCTCCAGTGCATCATCTGAAGGGGCACTCCTTCAGGTCTTGAAGATGCTATGCTCACCCAACCACAAACCCTGCATACGTGCACACATGCAGTTTTATTTTATTCTTGTTTTCATCTGTTAGGAATGTTCCTCCTCTACTGCTTAGAGCATCCATCTAGGCAGGCCAGCTCCTTAACTCCCATGCCCTCAACAATCTGTTTTCTTTACATCATTGGTTCCCATTTGTACTTAATACTCCCACTACCCTGATCACTTGACCATCTGTCTCCCCAACTAGACTATAGCTCTAGGCCTGTGTCCATGGTGCAATTTATATCTGCAGTGCTGGCAAACAGTAGGCACTTAATAAATACTCAATGAATGAGCTCATGTGTTTGTATGATAAACACCTTTTCCTACCTATGACTGAGTGGTCAAACAGCCTTTCTCTAAATATACTGCAGAATTTCCATGTCACCTACTGGCTGCCTGGACCTTTCTGATCTTAAAATAGAACTTAGCAGATAGTAAGTACAGCCAGTCCTCAATGATGTCAATAGGTTCTGCGACTAAGCAAAATGAAATATAAGGAAACCAATTTTACCATAGTCTAATTGATATACACATGAGTTAAGTTCCTATGGCATCTCATCAATGTTATAACAAAACAACACTGAGTGAAATGCTATTATTTGAGGGCCTGCTGTACTATGAAAGTACTGTAAAATAAGTAGAAAGATTGGAAGGCTTCGGTCTACAGGGATCTCAGAGGTATTGATCCACAGGGATCCACCCCCATTAAGCCCCAGGAGGGAACTGTTTCTTTGCTATTAATTAGGAGGCTCACTGTTAAGCTCTGAGTGTTCAGCCAAGCGTCAACTTTAGTGCATTCCTTTAGCAAGTTGCAACACATTTATTTTTAGTCTCAGCTGATCTGATGCTTACTGCAAAATGCTTAACTCTATTTCATCTTGGGTACTTACTTCACATCCTTTTATTTAATCCTCCTTACTATTTCTTTAGAGATGTGAAGGCATTGGTGTCCATGGAGGAAAGTCTTCCCCACCGTGGTCAGTCCCCAGTGGCCTAGGCTTGTGGGAGGGATGCCAGGTGCCTTGTAATTTCTGTGTGTTTTGATAATTAAACCTTAATTTTATCATCAACCCAAATGTTCCAGACCCAGCTTCTACTGCTTGGTTGAATGTGGCTTTCCTAATGTTCATCATGCATAATCCAGTTTATGCAACTAGCGTGCAGTGAGGCAAGGGATTTGGAGTCCAGACAGCCAAGAGCTTTGCATAACATTCTTGAACAGTAGTTTTCCTAAAGTCCGATGCGTGGAATGCATGCAAATATTTTCTTTGTCTCTCAGTTTCCTTATTTATAAAATGAAGATAATAATAGTTCCTACTTTATGGGGGTTTTGAAGATACAATTAATATATGAAGAGTGGTTAGCAGAATGCCTCGGAAATAAGTACCCATGAAATGTCAGCTGCTAATATTTACTTCCTGGCTGATATTTATTTATTAGATTACTAGTAGCCCTGCGCACAAATCCATGCACGAGTAACTTGCTGCAGCTTGCCTCAGCTGGCCACCCTGCCCACTGCCACTGGTAGCTCTCCGCCACTCATAACTCGCCACCCTGCCCTCCTGTAGCTCTCCCCCACTCATAGCTTGCTGCCCTGCCCTCCTGTAGCTCTCCACTCGCTGCCCTGACATCCTGTAGCTCTCCGCTGCTTTTAGATCGGTCGTGACGTTATGGTGTCTTGGTTAATTTACATATTCCTCTATTATTATATTAGATGGGGGTGTAGGTCTCAAGATAAGGCTTCTTCTGTACCTACTTTTATATATTTTGAACTTTTTACATATGTCTTACTGATTAACTAGGTTGTAATGTCTAAAATACCACACCTATCCCTATGTTCATAGCAGCACAATTCACCATAGCTAAGATCTGGAAACAGCCTAAGTGCCCATCAGTAGATGAATGGATTAGAAAACTGTGGTACATCTACACGATGGAATACTATGCTGCTCTAAAAAGGAAGGAACTCTTACCATTTGCAACGGCATGGATGGAACTGGAGAGCATTATGCTAAGTGAAATAAGCTAGGGGACTGTCTTGGGCGGGGGGAAAAAATGGACACATATGTAATACCCTTTGTAATAAATAATAAAATTTAAAAAAAAAAAGTTAAAAAAAAAAAATAAAACACCACACCTATTCACACCTTGTCTGACTAAAATGTAGCAGCACATAGACTGTTAGAGTACATAGACAGGTGTGTACTTAATTCAGTGCCAGGCAGAGCCCACTTGAATTGGCTCCATGCATTTTCTCATCTTGGCCTAAAAGTTCATGGTCAGATATAATGTGAATTCATATGAGATCCCAGTGTTGCTTTGTAAGTAGGTGTCGTTGAGTTTTCCTTGTCTAATTCTCAATTTCAAAGATACTAAAGAATTTTAACACTTGTTAGATAGTGCTCATGAACAAATGTTGAAATTTGCCAATTCTTCTGGGTAAGTTTCACAATCAGTTTATACTTGAATATTATTTTGAGAGATTTCAAGTCATGCTGGTAATAGTTGTAATAATGTCAAGTTTTAAACTTTGCAAAATAGAGTATTCTCACTATTGTCCAAAGAATAAAATTTACAAGGCCTATAGATAAATATAAAACTAGAACTGTTAGGAAAAAAACCCAGTTTTAGATTTTTAGGTTCATCAAAATAGTCTCATAATTTCTAAGGATGTCCTTAATAAAAATTATGTACTATAAGAAATTAACCAACAATATATTTATATTAATGAATTAACATCATTAAATATATAAAATTAGCAAAATTCTGGGACTATTTGGTGGGGTCAAATCATTAATATAAGAGTTAACTAACTCATGACCACCTGCTGTCCATTCCCTCTTAGTTGTATTTTCAGACAGGCTATGTGAGACATACCATACTTTTCCACTATTTATGCATTCATCCACTTATCCATTCAGCATTTTTATTGAGATACGGCTAAGTGGCTGCATTGGCCCAGGCTTCAGGCACAGCATTGTGAAGATGGTAGGCATGATTTGCTTTGAAAATGCAAAGTCATCCTGACGAGAATGATGCATTAGTGAACAATCTGGATATAATGCAAAGTTCATGTTTGCAAATATGTGATTTCTTCCCCAAGGAACACAGTCAACTGCACCCAGCTGAACCAGGCTGTGTGGGAATATATGAAATGCACACACACACCCATGCCTCAAGCATCTGCCAGCTCCCCCCTTCGGCAATTTCACCATGAATCACAAGCAGCAATATGTTTGGCACCTGTTTCCATGAGCAAACATCAGGCTTTTTTTTAAAGGTAAAATGCCACATTTATTGTGATATTTATATATTTCTTAGTCATCTAACATATATAAAACCAGGCCACCATTTTTATTAGATTCCTATCCCTTTTAAAAATGTCACTGATGATGTTTTTGAGTATGTGTCCCTAACCCAATTTTTTCCCGTAATTTCTATGTTTATTGCACAATATTGCACAGCACGGTAATTTTTAAAAACACATTATGTCACCTTATAGCAGAACTGACTGAATAATGAACACAATGTCTGCCACAAAGTATGTGCTTATTAAATTCTGGTTGAGCAAAAACGTCTACACTTGAAGCAAGTAGCAGGTATGATAAATATCCGTGGCATTCAACACTGTTTTAAGAAAAGCTCTTAGTCTTTTGTTGTTAACTACTATTAGTGCGCCTCTGGCCCTCATTTCTAGGGTGGAGATAATAGTACCTGTAAGGTTGTTGTTAGCATCAAACGGGCTCACAGTTGTAAAATACATACAAAGGTACCCAGCATGTAGCAACCACTCAATCAGGGGTGTTAGTATCACTGGTTTATTTATTGGATATAACATAAAATCACTTTTTTTAAAGTGCAATCTTAATACATTTAAAAAGGATGATCTTCCTTATGGATTCCACCAAATGAAAGCCTGTTTTAGGGAACAAAATCTCATTAAGTAGGCTTCTATTTTGTTTGAAAGTATACTCAGCCATTATTGTATCTGTCATTGACTATCTCGTAAGAAGTGACTAAATATGTGTTCCCAAGTGACAGCTGAGAATTGGGACAAGAAGGCTTTATGCAGTTTTCAGGTGGGATGGGAGAAGTTTCATAATTTTCATGACATCCCACAGTCTGTGAAATAAAAATAAAAAATTGTCTGATGCAGTCAAAAGGGGAAGGGTGTATTATTACTTGACAAATGTTTGGAACAGTCACATGACTACATTGAAAGAAAAGTTTCTGGCAGTTAAGCCACCGCTTTCTATCCTTACCGCCAATACCTCCTGCTTCCTAATTAGAGTAACCATATTTCAGAAAAATAAATGCTGACACATGGCTGGGAATGTGACAGAATGTTCCAAATTAGGACTTTCTCAGTCATCCAGGGGTCAACATACTGAAGACTTTGCCTTAGTTCTGAAAGGATACATGATGATAAAAGGATTAGCATGATGATCGGGGGGAATACTGGTTGTTGCTGCTTTTGTTCCAGGAGAGGGAGACTTGCATCTTCTAGAACAGCGGTTCTCAACCTGTGGGTTGTGATCCCTTTGGGGGTCGAATGACCCTTTCACAGGGGTCGCCTAAGACCATTGGAAAACACATATATAATTACATATTGTTTTTGTGATTAATCACTATGCTTTAGTTATGTTCAATTTGTAACAATGAAATTGGTGGTCACCACAACGTGAGGAACTGTATTAAAGGGTCGCGGCATTAGGAAGGTTGAGAACCACTGTTCTAGAAGGATAGTGTAATGAAAAGAACAAGATCTTTGTTTTCAGAACTGATTTCAAATGTTGGCCTTGGATAGTGGGTGAGTGACTTTGGGAAGCCACTTCAAGTGACAGACTGAAAATCCAAACCCTAGCAATTTGTTACAAGAGTGTCTGATATAAAACCCCACCTCATTTCACCACTACCACTGAGACATTCTGTTCTGAAAATTAAAGGAAATAGTGTGTGAAAAGTAGTTGGCTCAGTGCCTAGTACACGTGGGTGCTCAGGAAATACAAGGGTCTTTACTAGAGTAGAAGGTCCCAGCGTCTGCTTAGCCCTTCTATCTGTGAGTGAGCGATGTATAATTAAATATATAGATGACATACATAAAGAGATACATCAGGTATGCTGGGACACACTCTTGGACAGATACCTGGTATAACATTGTAGATAATGGAGGAAACTAGATGATCCTTGCACAAGACCTAGTTATACTGTGTTTTTTCTCATTTAGTATCTCCAGGCAGACATGATATTAAGTCTGCTGACAATTACATTATTTACTTGGACGAACGTAAGACAAGTGCGCCAGGTGAATGCAAATCAGTTCTGGAACAGGAGACAAGTGATTATGTCATGTTTGGAATCACCTACATCTCAGTTCTTTGCTCTCTGGACCGGAAGCCTGCGGCTGTGTCTATTCCTACATAGCAAAATCAGAGATGCTGTGATTCCAATGGGCCACATCCTCGGGGAGCTGACTGTTCCACTCCCCATGCCAGCCACCCTCATGCACTGCAGGCCATTTTGATAGACAGTTGTAGGCAAATCACTTCTCATTGTTCTGGACACAAGCAGGCCCGGCCTACACACACTATGAATTTCTTTCCTCCACCAGCCGTCTGACCTTTCAATTTTGATTTCATGTGTCGCCCCCTCCAACTGCAAGGCAGGAATTTTATTCTGTTACATAGCTAATACTGGCACTATTTGCTCCGATGTGTTGTGTAAAAGGTTATTTACTATTCCTTCTGGTTGGAGAGCCTCGGGGATGTTAGGTCTCTGCCTTTAGTGATTTAACACACAAAGGCAAAGCATTTCCCCCACAGTCAGCCTAGAGACACACTTCTGCCAGATCCCATTGGCCACCTTGGAGTCCTTGGCCACATTCATCAAGACTGAACATAACAGCCTTTTTGCGGGAGGCAATTTCAGATTCTGTCTTATAATGTGAAAATGCTGGCTTGCTCCTCGCTGGGGACTATACCAGGTAATATGCAATGATGGTCTGTATTACTTTGCAAGTAAACCAGTGGGTTAAAAAAAAAAAGTCTGAACTGATTCTGTTTCTAAACTTGTCATTTGAAATAGCCCATTGGTATAAGAGCAAGGCTGTCTAGTTTTGCCAACTTTTAAAGACATCTTTGTAGTTGCAGTAAATATAAAAAGACAATAATCAAATGAAAATATCAATGTCAAAATAATAGCTAAAAAAAAAGAGACAGTTTTTGCATTTTCTGGGCACATTTATTGTGTTTTCATTTGGACTTTCGTTCATTAAAATTGGACCCACGAGCGTCATTGAGGAGAAGACAATGTCAGACCTACAAAAAGAAAGCGTGTTCTTAGCTCAGCTTTCAGCGCCATTGGCAATGGCTTTCTGATGAACTTGACAGGGTTTGGTCATCATAAGCATCCAGCTTCCTCTGACTGCCGTGGCTATTATTTTTCCTGACTTGCTCTGTTCCTTTGGTCTGTGTCTTTCCCGTCTGGCGGGGGAGCAGTGGCAGCTCCCGCCTGTGCTTTGGGTTCCCCCTTTCCTCTATTGTCTTTGCTCCCTCCTCTTCTACGAACACTAGTATGTCGGTATGTGCTGGGAGGGAGGCGCCCCCCCCCCCAACCTTTGCCTTGCCTGCATAAGGTGCCGAGATACCCATGAGTCACTGTGCTAAGTGGTGCTCCTGGCTGAAGGGCAAACCACATTAATAGCTGGAAACCAGGCCATGCATTGCCACCCAGTGATACTAGTAACTGTGCACTGATCCCCATTAAGACCCCCAGATGTGTAAGGGTTTATGTCCAAAAGGAGCAAATAACTGCAATGAGATTCCCCAGAAAAGTAGAGATAAATGTTTGTCCAGCCTGTGACCCTAAATGGCACAATGAGGGCTCTGAGACGGGGCCAGGAAATAACTCTCCCAGCAAGAGAGAGAAAAAGTGACTCAGGTTTTACCTCCATTATAAGATTTATTTTCCTTTCATTTTTGTTTCCAAGCTCTATAAAGACCCATTTCCTCCCCACTCACTCTCAAGGGCCTGCAGTCTGGCTTCCGTTTTACCTCCTGAGTCTGCCCTGGAAGCCTTCCTAGACTCTCTGTCAGACCTGAGAGGTATTGCCCCGGTCTCATTTGTCCCTAGAACTCAATGCTGAGGACTAATGTACTGGAGGTTCCAGCTTTCCTGCTATTAGGTCAACTGCTCATCACACTTTCGATGGAGATAAAATGCTTAACATGGTCAAGGCACTCTTCAGTGCCGCCCTTCTGCCTTCCCGTGTCTTCTCTGAGTCTTTCAAATGCACAGTATTCTGCCCATCCTCAAGGCTTTCGCACATCCGCTCTCTCTGCCTTAGATGCTGTTCTCCCGCACCTGTGGCTGGCTCTCTCCTACCTGGCAGTCTCACTTCCTCCAGGAGGGCTTGCTTCTCTGACCTTCAAGTGCCTATGATGTCCTTACTCTCTTGCTTGCTTATAGAACACATTATCTCCCTTCATTACATTCATCACAGTTTGTAATTATTCATTCATTTTAGTGCTAATTTAACAGTGTCCCTTCACGAGACTGTCCCCAGAGGGCATGGAGCATACTTTCCACTTACTGGCCATCGCTCCTGGCGCTCAGGAAGTCCTCAGTTCACAGCAGCTGCACAGGGAACGAGTGCAATCTAGCAAGGAGACACTGCGAAGCCAGGAGCGGGGGAGGGGGATGTGGCAGGTGCGCTAGGATTGCTGTCAGTTCCGGACTGGATGCAGGCCCTGCTGCTGGCTGACAACTGGGGGATCTTGTGCGCCTCACTTATCCTTTTGAAGCCTGGATGTTGATACTTAAGGAAATGTCCTGAGAAATGGCACAGAGCACTGGGCAGGAAGAGATGGCCTGCAAGTGGGCCATCCTTCTTAAAATCTAACGCCCTGGTCAGAATGCTGTGTGGATAACATTCGTGTCTGTGTAGCACCTGACAGTGTAGCCGTGTGCTTTGGCTCTGAACAATAATCATTTCCATTTTTCCAGTACTATTGCCTCGAGCCATTTCATTGGCTTCCCTCCATCCTCCAGCCCTGTGGCAGGACACGCCTCCAGAGCAGCCATGGCGGAGATAATAAACAGAGGAGACGAAACACAAAGATAGATGACCCCATTCTGGTAAAGACCAGAATATTTTGTAGAAATCAGCACACTGGACTCTTCCCTGTCCCTTGAATGTGCCATGTTCTCTCCTGTCACAGGGCCTTTGCATATGATCTTCCCTTTCCCTGGAACGTTCCTCCACCCCTTCTACCTTTCTGACCAAAACTAGCTAATACCATCCAGTTAATGAGCACTCCAAGCACTCATAATAATTAGTATTTAAATGTGTGTGTGTGTGTGTGTGTGTGTGTGTGTGTGTGTGTGTGATTTGTATCTATTTCTCTCACCAGGAAGCATGTGTGGGTTTTTTTAATGGTATGTTTTATTTATTTTTTTGTAATTGAAAAAAAATTAATGTTTGATATTTGATACATTTTTTTTCTTTATTAAGGTATTCCATATGTGTCCTTCCTCCGCCACCCCCCCCTCACCCCCTTCCACACACACACTCATGCCCTCACCCCGATGGTGGCTGTGTCCATTGGTTAGGCTTATAAGCATGTGTGTTTAGCTCACTGTTGTATCCCCAGAGCCTAGCATTGTGGGTGGAAAATACAAGGGACTTAACTGGTACTTTAAGGAAGGAAGTCTTAGGCCCACGGAGATTCCGTTAGGAATCTTTCGTTCCACCGCTGCCATTGTCTCAGAGAATAAATTAGAAGGGTACCTGAGTGAAGGAGTGGGATGTTCCTGTGAACTGGCCCAAGGGAGGGATACACTGTGTTGTCCTGGGGTTTGCCACCTGCATTTTCTAACCTCTCTTTCTTGTACTCATTAAACATAAAGCATAACTATCAGTAATGAGTCCTTCAGAGCCTGAAGCAACAATAAAAATCAACAGCCCTGTCCCCTTTGGAGAAAAGGAAGCTTTTCTTTCAAAACCCTTGGGCCAACACCCAGGTCAGCACCTAATTGTCTCCTCTATGGGAACAAATGAAATGGTTGCCATGACAACTCAGTGAAGAGTTCAGGGTGTTTAAATTTTTTTTTGTTTTTACAGAAAGCTGCTGACTTTGACTTAACTGAGATCTTAGATGCATTCTATTTTGCAATTCTGAGCCCTTTAGGAGTTTCTCTGAATCATCAATAAATATCACTTTTAAAAAATTCACCTTCTTTAGAAAGCGTGATGGCTCAGTCTAGGATAATGATAATGAAGAGGGCAGCAGGGGACAGATGAGAGAGCTATTAGGAGGTGGAGATGACAAGTGGCTGGAGTGGATGCGAGGAGTCAGGGTAAGAGAGGAACCACTGCTATCATTCTGGGCATTCCACCTCCTCTCATGCAATGCCAGGATGTCAATCCTAAACCACAGCAACATAGTACAAACCCCTGAGTGGGTCTGAGCTCTCCTAAAAAAATGTTTCCACCCCGCCTCCAGCAAGGGTGGTCTGGCTATAGATCTTTGCAGGCAAAATGAATTGATATGAGCACAGCTGACTCCTGGGCCCCCTTCTAGAGTGCTGGGCCCAGAAATGTATATCAGCTGCCCTTCCCCTCCCCTCAAGTAGCCTGATCTAGCCTCAGCTACTCGGAGCCAGTTCTTCACCATCAATTCCTTTTATTGCTAAGATGTTCTCTCTTCAGGCCTCAACCCTGCATTTATTCCTATTTGGAATTCCTACCCTGCCCTTCTTTTTAAAAAAAATCCACTTTTTAAAAAAGGATGAAAGAGATCCATAAACTGGTTAACTAATGGGCATCTGAGTAAACTGCTGTCTCTTTACACCCAGAAAACACTTGGCTCATGTGTACTATAGAGTCTGTATAATTTAAGAAAAAATATTCTTAGATAAAAGTATCATTCCATCAGACTCTTGTAATAAAGCCACATCAAACTTTGATATAATTCTAAGAAAAGCAGATGAATGAGTCTTAAAACATAATCTTAAAAGCACATTCTCTATTCAGTTTTGGCTTATGGGATCGCCAGGCATTTCTTATGGGAACACACATAAAACTGAAATGTCTACTCGGTGATGTCCACAGAGATGTCAGGCCCACAGAGCGGAGAACCCTATAGAAGGAGGTGTTTCTGAGTAGCAGCTTCTCCCTGATGCTGGTGACGTCAGCAGCCACCGCTCTCAGCCAGTGGTCCTCTGGGAATTCCTTGGCTGAGGAGTCTCATACTGCCCAAGGTTCCACCCCCTCCCCTCGGGAAGCCCCCAAAGAATGCCTGGGAGATGCTGGGGTAGGAGGCTCAGCCCTTTGCCCCAGCTGTAAATCAAATTGCATTTTCTAGAGTTTATATGAATAGGGGCATATAATATGCACTTTTCTGTGTTCTTTTTTTTCAATGTAATTATTTTGAGATTCACCCACATTGTTGAATTTATTTGTGGCTGAGTAGTATTCTCTTGCATGGTTTTACCACATTTATTTAACCATTCATCTGCCAATGGACACTTAGGTTGTATCCAGTTTGGGTTGTTATAAATGTCATATACAAGGCTTTCTATGTACATATTTTTCATTTTGTTTTGGGTAAACACATAGAAGAGAAATGGCTGGACCATATAGTAGGTACATGATTAAAGTTTAAGAAACTACCAAAGAAATATGGGAATATCATTTTATGTGCTTTTCAGCAGTGTCTGAGAGAGAGTTCCAGTTCCTCTAAAGCAGTGGTTCTCAACCTTCCTAATGCCGCGGCCCTTTAATACAGTTCCTCATGTTGTAGTGACCCCCAATTTCATTGTTACAAATAGAACATAATTAAAGCATTGTGATTAATCACAAAAAACAACATGTAATTATATATATGTTTTCCGATGGTCTTAGGTGACCCCTATGAAAGGATCGTTCGACCCGCAAAGGGGTCACGACCCCCAGGTTGAGAACCGCTGATTTAAAGCCTCTCCAACACTTGGCATGGTCAGACTTTTGCATGTTAGCCACTCTAAGGTGTGTGCAGGAAAATCTCATTCTCATTCTAATTTACAATTTACTAAGAAGCCTAGGTAATTCAGCAGATTCCACTGGGTAATTTGCCACTTGTATGCCTTTGGTGATGTGTCAGTTCAAATCTTTTTTTCCCATTTTTTTTTTTATTGGCTTTTCCCTTAATGCTAAGATGTGAGAGTTTGGGATTCTAGACATAGGATCTTTATCAGATATATGCTTTGCAAAGTTCTTTTTTGTCCCTAGTCTGTGGCTTATCAACTCATTCTCTTAATTTTGTCCTTTGAAGAGTGGAAGTTTTTAATTTTGGTAAAGTCCAATTTTTCAATTTGCTCTTTTATAGATGGTACACTTTTTTGTGATATCTAAGAAGTTTTTGCCTAATTGAAGGCCACAAAAAATTTTCTCCTATCTATTCTAGATGTTTATGGTTTTGGGTTTTATGTTTGGATCTATAACCCATTTGCATTAATTTTTATATATGGTACTAGGTACCGATCTAAGTTCATTTTTGGATATAAATGTCATTCTAGCACAATTTGTTAAAAATGTGTACTTTATCCACTACCATACCTTTGTGCTTTTGTAAGAAATCAGTTTTTCATGCATGTGTGGGTTTATTTATGGACTCTCTTCAGTTCCATCAACCTATTTGTCTTTCTTTACAACAGTGTCATGCTGTAGCTTTATAATAATTCTTAAATTCAGACAGTGTTACACCTTCAACTGTATTCTTTTTCAGAGTTGTTTTAGCTGTCTAGGTTCTTTGCATTTCCATATTAATTTTAGAATCCACTTTTCAATTTTTATAAGGAGCCTTATGGGGGTTTGCTTGTCATTGGACGGAATTTATAGGATAATCTGGGGAGACTTGCCATCTTAACAACATTGAGCCTTCTACCCATCAACAATGTATAACTCTTCATTTATTAAGTCTACTTTAATGTCTCTGAGCAAAATTTTGTAGTTTTCAATAAATAGCTCTGTTATATTTCATTGTTTTTCCAAACATTGAATTTTCCTTTTATTTTTTTTTAAATTCCATTTTTCAATCATAGTTTACATCCAATACTATTTTGTATAGCATAGCGGTAAGACAATCACATACTTGACAAAGTGTGCCCCCTAATATTTCCAGTACCCACCTGGCACCATACATAGTTCTTACAATATTATTGACTATTAGAGGCCCGGTGCACAAATTCGTGCATGGGTGGAGTCCCTCTGGGTGGCCTGCTGGGATCTGGCTGGAACCCGCAGTCCAATGCCACCTGAAGCTCCGATCTGCCACTCCCGCTCATCCCAGCCCCACTGTGCCTGCCGCAGGCTCATGCCCAATCAGTCCTGATCAGAAGAGGCTCACCAGCCATGAGCCCTGCATCTGGTGCCCTCCCAAGAGGAGTGGTCTGTGGGATGGGGCTGAAACCAGCTCTCCGACATCCCCTGAGGGGTCCTTGGTTGTGAGAGGGTGCAGGCCAGGCTGAGGGACCTCACTGTGCACAATCGGGCCAGGGAGGGACCGCGAGAGGGCTCCAGGGCGTGTCCGGCTCATCTTGCTCAGTCCTAATCAGCTGGACCCCAGCAGCAAGCTAACCTACTAGTTGGAGCATCTGTCCCCTGGTGGTCAGTGCACATCATAGCGAGTGGTTGAGTAGCCTTAGCATGTCATTAGCATATTACCCTTTGATTGGTTGTTCCGTTGTTCTGTCATTTGGTCTATTTGCATATCACCTTTTTATTATATAGGATAATCCCTGTGCTGTACTTTACATCTCCGTGACTATTCTGTGAGTACCAATTAGTGCTTTTTAATTCCTTCAGCTTTTTCACTCAATCCCCTTCCCTCTGGCAACCGTCAGTCTGTTCTCTGTATCTATGAGTCTGTTTCGATTTTGCTTATTTTTTCTTTAGATTCCACATATAAGTGAAATCATATGGTATCTGTCTTTCTCTGACTTACTTCACCTAGCATAATACCCTCTGTGTCTATCTATGCTGTCGCAAATGATAGGATTTCATTCTTTTTATAGCCGAGTAATATTCCATTGTATATATGTACAGTTATTTATTCACTTGTCTATTGATGGACATTTGTGTTGCCTTCATATGTTGGCTATTGTAAAGTTTCAATGAACATAGGAGTACATATATTTTTTTGAATTATTGTTTTTTATTTCTTTGGATATATATTCCCAGAAGTGGAATTGGTGGGTCAAAACTCGTTCCATTTTTAACTTTGAGGGCTCCAAACTCTTTTCTAAAGTGGCTGCACCAACTTGCATTTCCTCCAATGGCTCATGAGGGATCCCTTTTCTTCACATCCTTATCAGTACTTGTGGTTTGTTGATTTATTCATGACAGCCATTCTGACAGATGTGAGGTAGTATCTCATTATGGTTTTAATTTGTGTTTCTCCTACGATTAGTGACAATGAGCATCTTTTCATATTGGCCATTTGTAAGGACATAGAGTTTTTCAAAGATCCCAAGCCCACGCCAATATCTTATAAAATGCCCCACATTCTGATTTGTTTGGTTTTTCATAATTAAATTCGGGTCAAATGCATTTATCAGGAATACTTCCAGGTGGCGTTGTGCATCCTTCCAGGAGGTCACATATTAGGGGAGCTTGCGGCTGGTGGTGAGCACCAGATCTCATTACTTTAATGGCACAATGTACCTTTGTTTTTTGAAAATAATCTATGAGTGATACATTGAGAGAAAAATATTTTTGAAAAGTCAATTTGTAAGATTATTAACTTCTGCTCTAACATGTGATTATTTTTATTTTCTTTCTTACTAAACGGCATTTCAATTATCTCTCTAGATTAGAAAAAATATGCTAATTTCCCCTTGCCCTCATAATACACCACAAGGAGCAATAGGCCACTAGGAAATGTTTCCCTCACAGTGATTGATTAGGGGTGTGGCTTAGTCGGGAGAAAACCTGACATGAGCCCTCAGGACATCCAGGTATGGGTAAAGAAAATCCTTGCTCATTTTGCGAACACCTTCCAAAGTGTTGAGAATGCAAGTTCGGTTCCTGTCTCAGTGAGATCTTGTCACTATGGAGCCAGCCAGGTTTTGATCAGTTGTATAGGTTTATAATCTAAGAACCAATCTGTTTTATAGGCCTTCAATCAGCATTAAACAAAAACAGGTGTTTCACTTATATAATGGCATGTACTCTGTGTGAACAGATGGGGCTTCCAATAGGTGATCACTTTACTTCTAGACAGGATGTGTTTTATATTCTGTGAGGAAAATTCATGCCAATTGATAGTCTAGTTTGCCATCAGGCTTGGTGCTATGGAACATTACAGATGAGAATGATATAAGATAATCAAAAACTGGCTATATTTGGCGTCACAGGAGATGCCTTTAAATGAATATTGTGCTCTCTGCTTTAATCCAATACACCCCTCTTTCTCCCTCATAGGATCTTATATCACATAGCTGTAAAGCAGATATCTGTAAAATACTATGTCCTTCAAACTGCATGCTGTACACTGTACTCTGCCCCGCAATGTTCCTCATTCCTTTGCACCCTGAGTTAAAAGGTGTACTGCAGATTATGAGGAAGCAGCAATATTTATTTTTGCTCACGGGGAAAACTGCCAACATTGAGCAAATTTCAGCTAATGTTCACCTCGTTTGGCTTGACTCAGAGCAGGTCTTAAAGGGAGACAGCTAGACAGAAATATGAGCAATCCAGACAAAGGGGTATTCAATTACTAGCTGGAGAAAATGGAAGTACTTTAACTGTTTAAAACATTTTGCTTTGCAGAAATTTTAAAATCTTTGCTAAAAATGCAAAGAAATGTTTGCTATCAAATGCCCCAACATTATATTTATTTTAAATGTGTTAACATTTTTAAAACTTCCATACCTTATTATATTTTCATAAATTAAAAAACAACAAAACAAAATAAAACTGCTGAAATTCATGTAAATAGAAAGGGATGGGAAATTACTGGAAAAATTCAAAGACTCAAATTGAATCCAGGTCACATATTTTACAGTAACCACTTGATGATTTCATTTTATTTGGTGTTTGCCATTCTGTGGACTATATTATAAACAATGATATGGATTTTCCTAAGATATGTTATCACTACTTACAGAATCTCCCCCCTCCCTCCAAATGTTCCCGTTAAACTGTCTATGCAGCATTTATCACGGAGGGCATCATTAACGTTCTTTACATTAGCGCTCTCTCTCTAAAAATTGACTGTGAGTCAATTTCACTGGATTTCAGACATTTCTGTTTAGGGGAACTCTTGCTGTGGCTCACTTTTATTGGCTGTCACAGATTGAATGAGTGACCAGATAACATGAAGCAAACCAAAATTATTCCCAGCTTCCATCTAGGCAAAAAGCTACAGAATATTGCCATGTAGCCAATCTTCATTCTTCAAGACCAAATAGTTTAAGTTTCACACAATCAAATGTTTCCCCTCCCTTACTTTTAGGAAAGTCTTCATTCAAAAGATGTATAGTGTGCATTTATTGTGGGCCTTCATACTCTATTGTCTAAAAGTATTAAGAATTTATTGAACAAGGTTTATAAAATTCACCATGAGAACAAGCAAAGCTTAAAACGTCAAAGATCATTTAAATTTTAGGCTATGGATGTGTATACACACACACACACACACACACACACAGACTTCCTTCATGCCGTCATAAGGAATGCCTTTTGATGCACATGAACTTGGGAATTATAGAGGTATGTAGATGAAATAGTGTTTTTCATCCTTGACAATTCTGGCTCAGTCACTGTTTTATGGTTGAAGTCCTTGGTGACTAGCAGGCGCGGGGACACATACCTGGGGGCAGAATGGTTTCCCAGAGCCTCTCCTCCGTATTTAGTGGGAGTGGCCTCTGGAGAAATGAGTGGTTGCCGTTAACTGCCAGCCTGATCAGTATACTGAGACCAGTCCTCTGGGTGTCCCTCAAGGACCAGATAATACCATGCTTTCCTGATTTGTCCAGACAGAGTAAGGCGTTCCCTCTACTCTAACCAATGCAGTTAACACTGTGTATCCGTCTTCCCTTCTCTCCCACCCATTGTCACACTGGACTTTGAGACTTTCTGAAGCCCATGTATTCATTTCTGAAAGTCCATCCCCTTAATGTTAATAACTAGCAAAGTGGTATACAGTTACTAAATGTTTATTTTCTTTTAAATGGAAGGAATGCTCACCTGTTTTCTTTGCCTTGATATTTCACCACGCTGCATTTCCTCAATGGAAATTAACATCCGATGAAACTGTCTCCTCTTCCAAAAGCATGTTCTACCTACTTTCACTTTTCCCATCCTCTATGGATGGGGTAAAAGCAACACATGCACATCACAGATGAACCTGCCCACATGTTTTTAATCTGATAATAGAGTCATCATTTCCATTGGTTTTTACCCAGGGTGTGCTGACACCATGAAGGGATGACAAACAATGACTTCACGATTTCCTTATTTTACTCTGAATTCTAGCTATTTTCTACTTTCTTAGAATTTTCCCCATTTAGGGCACTCTGGTGATATTGGAATGGAGAACTCCAGAATCACACTACCATAACCCTAGTGGTATGGGGAATTGTGGACTGAACAATAACATTTTCTGGCCATTATTTCTGTGGATGTAGGAGGCATAGAAAGTATGTATGACACATAGAAAATAGGCTTTATTTTCTTACACACAAACTTGCCGTTTCTTTGGCAATTGTTACCTGGTCAGACACATTAGTTTATATAGAAACTGTATATTTTCTCTGTGGATTTCAAAGTGTCTTTGTTCTTTACCAAAAAGAAATACTTGTTATGTTCCCAGTAGCCTAAGTGTTCAAGTGGCATTAGTCAATGTGAATTCCCTGACCAGCTCAATCGCTAGGAATTTACCCACTTAAAAATCAACCATTGTATGCCATAACCAGTTTGGCTCAGTGGACTGAAAGGTCCCAGGTTCAATTCCGGTCAAGGGCATGTACCTTGGTTGCGGGCGCCTCTCCAGTGGCGTGTGTGCAAGAGGCAGCTGATCGATGTTTCTGACTCTCTATCCCTTTCCCTTCCTCTCTGTAAAAAATCAATGGGCGTGTCCGGCTCATTTTTTTTTTAAAAAAAGAAAAAAAATCAACCATTGTAGGTGCTCTAATCCTTCAGTTTATGGAGATACCCTGA